TGTGAATTTTATTCAGTAAACATCTAGCATGCATATGTAAAATCAATTCTTATATTTCACATATTTCGGTTATATATGATATCCACCAACTAATCATCGAATTTCAGTAAAGTCGATGTATGAAGTAATGTATATCTTATTTTGGAGCGTGGATGAAATCGACATCTACACTCAGTTTTTAACCTCTGCTTTGAGTCTCGAAAATCTTACTATTTTCCTGTTTCGAGAGAACCTTTTCTAACAGATACAACAGATTTGACAATTCCATTTCTACTACTTATAATATTTATAGTAGTATAATATGGAAGTCGTTTTGCCCGATTAAATTTAACTGTTCAATCAATGAACTGACATTCTTCTAGTACTCGACATATAACCTGCTCCACCAAGTAGTCACACAGTATTTAGCGTAGAGGAAAAGATGTATGTATTGCAAATAACCGGTAAAATGGACATACTACTTGAAACCCTAAACTGATATTTCCGAAGAATTTATTTTAATATCGAGAACGACTATAAAAAATAGTTTAATTAAACAATATCTGATAAGCATTTGGGTAGTTACTTCATAAATTAAAATTGAAATCTTTTCTCGATACTTTTTGAAAATCACGTCCAGTATTTAAACCATACCGAAAATATGTCTTATTCAATAATCCTATCCTTAAATGGACTACGACGAAAATCTTGTCTTATCAACGTACTTGAAACTTTTGTCTATAGAAGCATTTATTATCGCTTTTCTTTCAAAGAAAACATTTTGACCATTAACAATATACTGAAAACGATGAAGCAAATTACCTCAACAGATAATTCATACCAATACCAACATATTTTTGAAGCGGAATACTGGCAATTTGACATGCAACCTAAATTAAATGGGTATATCAAGGCGTATGAGTGAATCGGGATTGACAAATACACTTGAAGTTTTGATTCATTTTAAGACTATTTCTAGTCACTGAACATTCTTGAAGCTTTTTAAATAAAATTATTTATTGTTATTAACAGTGGTTTTTAGTATTGTTCGGCTGAAAAGTGTTTATTATTCCTGATGTAAAGTTTCGTTACTTAATGCTGACTTTTGTATCTTTATACCAAGAATTCGTAAACTTCTCAATCAAACGTGTTTATTAAAAGTTTTTTTAAAATACTGTCGATTAAGAAATGATTATTTAAAATCAATCATCTGAACAATGTAGGGATTATACATGACGGTATAGTTGTAGGTAGGAAAACTGTTTTTCGAAGAAAAGTCGTTATTCAAATGAAAATGTATTATTTTTTATTTAGAAACTAAACAAAACAATTCACAGAGATTATCTATAGTTATTTTATAAGCCACCGTAAATGTTTGCATTGAAAACATTTTACTAACTAGATTATACTAACAACTTTTAAACATTAGATGATTAACGGTTGGTTCGTCTCCAACCGGGAAAAAAAGAGATTTCCTTCTTTAGATATCTTCTAGATTTTACGTTAGAGATCTCGAATTTCTGTTAACAAACAAGCTATGATACTTTAGGGACCATACAAAGTTAATGGGACATTTAAAAAATTAAAGCGTTTATTCTTCATGAGATAATTGTCCATCATTCGATATGCTTGTATAATTAAGATAAATAATAGCAAATTCGTTTTTTACCTGAAATAGATTTCTAATCTGTATCAATTGAATTTCATCGAATCAAAAACAGCTGTAAAAACATGAGATTCATAAGATAATGAACGATTCGTTCTTTTTTTATTATTCTACCATGGGATTAAAAGATTAGAAATAGAATTTATGATGTCAACTATGTACATATTAAGAAATATTTCGAAATGATAACAATTATTAACTAAAAACTAAAAGTTTGAGACATCAATGAAAAGCTTGGACAAGATTGCCAGGCGAAACGTTGGATTTACTTCAAATTCTTTCGCTGAGATTTTATAATTACATTCTTCCTCTTTAATGACTCACATTAACTGGGCGCCCAAATATTGTGAAACTATTCGTTCAAATGTAGACTATAGTTATTATTTATTAAAAGGTTTCAGTATTCTGAAAAACATTTTCCAATGAAATCTATTAAAGATTAAATTGTTTTGTTGGCTCTACCATTTTGTTTAGTGATGAAATGTATATTCTTTTTTTAAAAAGGAAGAATTTCTTGTAGTTTAATTGGCGGATATTGAAGCTGCAAGAAATTGGTCGTTTGAAGTTCTATTTATTATGAAATTGTTTGTAGTGAAAAATATCATCCTAGTAATTAAATGAGTATTGATAAATGATTTGAATGTTAGGTAATGATTACATTTTTGTTGCATATAGATTTAACTTAAAATTATTTTGTAAGTTTAATTTAATCAAAGAAACAACCGTAGTTTTCTCCTCTGTAGACAAATATGAAAACTATATTTTTTCATTCCTCATGTATCCAAGATATTAATAATTCAATCTATAATGAAGTCTTCAATTTAAGAGCTAAAATTATTCCTAAAAGTCAACTATCTACTTATAAGTAACAGCCGTTATTACGATGATTATGCTAAGGATATTTAACTGAACCCACTGTCGTGACAATTCTTGTTATGAGCATAATGTCTATGTCTGAAATTCAATAAACCTCAAAACGAATGATTGGTAGCACATATTGATCAGATGAACTAATAATTGTTTACGTGATATATGATAATCATTATATTACCCTATTTTCAATCATTCTTAATTGTAGGTAAAATATGCCTGTAAACATGTTTCATAATATGTTTACAGTTTATAACATAATTAACTGTTTCTGAGCTCAATGTTCATTTATGTACATCAAATAATCTAGATTAAAAAGTTATCAGATCTATGGTTTCTCCGACTGATAAACACTTGTGTGAGAAACAGCATGATGCTATTCATGTTTAACTCCCCACATGGTCTGAACAATCATTTTACTACAGTATAACTTAATAATACAAAGAATAAATCATCCACCCAAAACAAAGCCTTTTATAATATTCGTGGTATTACTTAATATATCATCAAGTAATGTCTCCTGAATGACATATATACAGTGGTTTTTTCAAACAAAAAAATCAACTCCATCACTTGTTATATTTATGGAATGAATAGAATCAATAACAAGCAAAAACGAAAAGAAAAACTGAAATTCTACTAACTCCTGGACACATTTCACTAGATTTTAATAAAAACAAAAGTTGGAAATAACAACAATCAAAAAACACATATCATAAATTGATGAAAAGAATACATGAAAATAAACAATTAATCTATAGGACTTAAAGAGCAAAAAATAAAAAATAAAAATAAATTTTCAATCAAATAATCATATGATTACACGAATAATTGTAAGAAATAATAAGAAACTACTGATATAACTGTCAATTATTTATACAACTGTCATTGAAAATGAACACGAAAGAAAAACATTTCAAATTATCTCGAATATATATTACTAAAATCACTATGACAACTAAATCATGAATAATAATAATAATAATAATAATAATAATAATAATAATAATAATAATAAAAACATATACTATTGAAGATTAATTTTCCTTTTAGACAAAATGATTGATTTTAATTTTTTTTTTAAAAAACATTTTATTCATTCAAAAATGAAAATATTCATCTCTTCATTATTGGTCAGGAAAAAATTAATTTTATGGAATAATTCAAAAGACTTAATTAAGGAAACAAAAGTACATTTACAATGGAATAAATGAATTACTAACATACGTATGAATTGTTGATATTCTTTGATACTTGAAGTTATTATGTAATAGAATTTTGACAAATTCGGCTATGAATACACAATAGATCACGTAAATACTAAATGAAATTATTTTAAAAACAAAAACAAACAAACAAACACGAAAATTTTGTTTATTATTAATCTAATGTTGAGTAAAAAAAATGTTAAAAAGTTAGTTGAATAACGTAATTATTCACAAAGAATGTATCAACAAATGCAAATCTAATAAGTCATAAATCTCCAAGATTTATTTTCATGGAGTTCTAGTGAGATCCAGAAAATCGCTTGCAAAAGACAAGAAAGCATCAGGAAATACTAAGAAGCGTTTCATCCAATCAGCGTTCACTTGAAGTCTTAACCAAAAATATCAAGGAAGCGAGACGTCACATGCAGAGGCTCTGATTGGTTGGCTGCTACACTGCTACTATGTTTACTAGCATTTCCATAATCTTCTAGCAACCCAAGGACATTTAAAATATTATAAAAACCCTGTATTTTCTGTATTAAAATGAACCTTGGAGTAAACTACTTCTCGCATACTTTGAGTCTTCTCTCGTGTTCAGGTCGCTGTATATTTCTAGCTTGGGGGTTGCAAAATAGCTTAGGAAACGAATATAGCGTTCAATCCGCAAGACTTATCAACCAAAGGAGTTCAACCGGGTCTGTTGTGAGATAGTAACTCACTTAAGACAATGGTGGACGGTGGTGAGATTTCGTGGATTGGTTGAAGTTAGACACTAACACCGTTGGATGCCGGTTCAGTGGTCTAAATGCTGAGCGCATGCACGCGCGAGACTGATAGGTCATGGGATCGGATTTTGCAAGCTGGGGCCGTGGATGCGCACCACTGAGGAGTTCCGTACTAGAATGAAACGGCGGTCCAGTGCTTCCAGGTTTCCTATGGTGGTCTAGCTTCAATTGACCCATGAATTCAATTATTACAAATGTAAATACGATGTGTATCCGATCAAGTATGAATAAGCTAGTTTTAAAGAATAAGAGTTATTGTACAAAAACAAATGATAAAATATGAAGTACTGTGACAGATTATTATAAATTAAATATGAATATAGCAGAATTCTGGAAAAAAATACAAGCACAGAAACAAAACACTGTGATATTATTTATCATGGAGATTTTTACGTCACCATTTGAATCAGTTATGGTTGGACGACAATCATTTATATATATATATATATATATATATATATATATATATATATATATATATATATATATATGATGATTGTTATCCAAATATACATCCCGGCTACCCTAGTACATAGTTATCGACTTAAATCGCGTTAAGGAATAATGGAATTAAATAAGCTAAATATTAGAATACGTATATTTCAAACAAATGTTTATCCGGACAAACAACTAGAGAAACGAAGTGATGAGCATCAGAAAGGCTAGTGAGCCAACTCAATTTGATCAAGTGTGACTCAACATTTATATTCAGACAAAAATAAGTTACACACACGTAACGAATAGAGCTAGCAATTAACATACATACGATTATATAAAAACAGTTAGAGCTAACAAGCGAATAATTGATAAGGTCAAAATGTGACTTGAGAAGAATGAATAGATTGATCTGTCCAAAAGCTAGAATAGCCTATGTGGTCTTGATATAGTACTAACCACTACAGACTTTAAACGTTTGGATCAGTGGTATATTAAAGACCAAAACAGGTGTTTCGGATATGTACGTTTCATCACTCAATCGATATTTCATGCAGACAGTAAGAGATTCAGTACAGAGAAAGGTTCTTAATCCCATTGGATTGCAATAAATATGAATCCGAATTAATTGCTAAACAGTTAAAAGAATACTAAAGTCAGATAACGAATGAATTACATGATCAGTTGACATAGCAACATATAAAGATCATCGAAATTACAAGTGAATAGTTGACAAAAATATATGTGTAAATGACAACCCAAAATGATCATAATTTGTCTGTCCAAAAGTTTAAAAAAACTCACGTGAATCACTACAGTTCCAGATTAATGATTGATATTTGTTGATAAAATAATTATTTTAGAAAGTTAATATATTTATTTATCACATTAATAGAACAAATATCAACCAGTTCATTTAAAAGAAATTGATATAAAGATCAGTTATTTACAAGTTTATTAATGGAAAACAAAAAATAAACAGTTCAACAACAGAATATTTCTCCAAGTAAAATATATAAATAGTTTTTAAATTTCTGAATGAAGAAAGCGGGATTTATGTGATGTTTGTTACTACATCTGTTGTTAAGAGTGAAACACAAAAATATACAGACACTCGATACTTAAAAATCTACAAAGAATACTGGTTCACTTTTATTATTTATTATCAAAACCATACATACAACATGTTAGCTTAAATGGGTCAATCAGTAATTATCAACGTAGAGACTGGGACGGATCTGTATTGTCCCAAGTTACCACATCACATTAGCACAGTAAGATGAAATTAATAAGAAGTATGGAAAAAAAGACCGAAAAAATACAGTAGAAATAACATTGCAAAAGAGTGAATATTAAGAAATCTGGTTCGAAAAGACATAATGAAAAGGTTTGCATTACTAAATACTGGAATTCAGGATTGAGAGGAAAATAATAAGAAGAAATACATCTCCGCCGTTTTGAACGATCATGAGCAATGTCATTTAAAGTCTTCAGATATTTATAGTCATTATCGCATGGACCTCAATCAGATACTCTTCATCTACCAACATGTCTCAGATCGACTGTCAATGACTTCATGCTTTATCCTGCACTGACTGGTCCTAGCTTTTTTCTGACTTACTCCTAAACCATAAAACAGTAACTGTCGGGGTAGATGGTGGTGACCTATGTCGCACCAACTTCAACAGATAAGGAGTCATAACTTAATGTTTATTGTAGGTGTCATTACCAAGGTTTGATTTGATAATTTCGAATAAATTGAGCATTGGGTTGATTGTTATAAATAAAGATAATATATCTGTAATATTTCAATGAGTAGAAAATTGGATTTTCCGACGTTTCGTGACTTAGTGCAAGTCACTTTTTCAAAGAATAAATGACCAAATTAAAATTAATCCAAGTTTAAATAGTACTATTGTACTATTGTACTATTTAAACTTGGATTAATTTTAATTTGGTCATTTATTCTTTGAAAAAGTGACTTGCACTAAGTCACGAAACGTCGGAAAATCCAATTTTCTACTCATTGCAATATTACAAATATATTATCTTTATTTAATGTTTATTGTCTGAATTCATGGAATCATTAATGATGTAGACGAAATAAGTATCTAACTTTCACTATACATATTCCGACGAAAAATCCCGTTAATATCAAAGTGGATATAAAACACCAAACACGAGTGCTTCAGATATTTATGTTTTATACGTTCATTTTGTCAGGCACATGTACCTACTCAAAATATAAAAAACGTTAATGCAACTCAAAAAAAGAATAGTGCAACAAAGACACTGGTACTGGATAAGGTAATAGGTGTACAGATATACACACAAATCCGTCTTTATAAGCGTAGAATTACAAGGACATGAATAAAAAAGGTATGTCTGCTGACGGCCACAACGTTTAGGAAACAAAAGGGTTATTAGAATGGTTAAAATGACCCAATAGTCACATGCTGTCTGAGTTAAGTCTGTTTGAAAGTTTGGATAAATAATGTAAGTGTACAATAACATATAATTTGCTACAATAACTTTATCAGTCGACGAATCATCTAAGTCAAGTTCCTGATGTATAACTTCAACACTACTAACTCGATCGTTAGACGAAAAGCAAATGATGCCTCAAATACATCTATGATCCAAAACCTACAGTGTAAACATCTCTTCTACTTTCAATGACTGTGTTTCACAGACACAGTAATATAGTGGGAATTATTGACCAATATACAGTGTCTTTGGTTATTAAACAGGCATCTTGCCTATACCGTGAGTAAAGAAGCTTACGGAAGACTCACTGATCTTCTTGATTCTCTACCGAGACATTATTAGATACAAATCCGTTATGGCTGATGAAACTTCCATGACAAGCAAAGTGCTTAACGTATTTAACTAATTCACTCCATGTTATTAGTTCTGACTGATTTGTAACTTGTCCATAAAAGTCAATGAAAGAGGCACAAAAAACCATGTTTTGTATAAACTATGATTCGAAGCATCAGAACAAGTGTATCTTACGTGTACAAATCAGCTTTTGATATTAGTGAGAGATTCCACAGTGAATTTTCAAAACTTCAATAAAAGTCACTTCTAAAGGCTATGAGACGAACAAGAACTCAAAAATTGGTCAAAAAGTAGGAAATTTCTAATCGACATTATCAGTTCATTATGGGAACTTTAAGTAATTAGTAGATTCTGCAACTTCCTGATGTTGAAAAAAACACATTCTAGACCAATGATTCTGAAAAATCATAAACAAATTCTGCCTTTTCTTTCAGTGTTTATTCACGCTCGAGGTATTTTATTGTAAGTTATTATACCGGAAATACTTAACACAAAAACAAATTGAGCAATATTTTATACAATAATTGAGCAACGAAAGATCCACCTCAAGTAAAAGTTTGTGTCATCTGACAACGAGTAATGATGAATATAACAATTGCTTACCAGGTTTAGATTCATCATAAACAATTCTTTCAAACATAAAATATCTAATCTATAGCAAAAAAAGTGATTACCAATGTAAAAAAAAAGTAAAAAACAACCACCAGAGTTAATAAATTCAATAGAGAATTACCCACCTTAATGACGGAGGCTGATCCATTTTTTGTTATATCAACAGGCATTTGTTTGAGACTACAACCATCAATACCCAGAAATCGCAGAGAAGGCAGCATTCCTAATTCAATAGGAAGCAAATCCAATGGCTTATTATTTGATAGATACAAATGTGTTAAATTCTGCAGTTTGCCTGAAAAAGTGATCAGAACAAAATATGTGGAAAATAAATAAGTGGTATCGAATGCGAAATAACACTACACAACATACAGATTCTCATGCGCTTCCAATCTTGAAGTTATACTTTAACTACTTAATAGTTTATAAGTAGTGTACATATTTCTGCATCATTTGTAAGTTTTCGCTTCGGCGAAATTTATATGGCTGAATAATTTATGGAGATAAATACCATTCAAATGATATTTTCAGCTTCAATATTCAGGAGGCGTTAGCCCTCAAAAAGCACTCTTATTTTTGCTATTATTACTCACATGACTTTTAGTTTACGTTAATAACATTTTTCAGTTGACATAAGTTTAGTACTTACCGATTTCAGGTGGTAAACGTTGAAGAAGATTGTCTTTCACTCTCAGTTTCCTTAAATTGTTCAGATTTCTTTAAAAATCGAAAAACATGCATAAAATAAACTATGAAAGTGAAGAAAAAGAAATGCTAAGACTATTAAAATGATTAAAAGTGCTTAATTAAATGGTACATACGATATTTTAGGACATACTACGCCATGTATGTAATTAATCGGTATATATTAGAAAGGATGGTATGCAAATACAGTTCATTCTTAATTTAAAGTGAGTAAAACGACTGGACAACAGACTAACCTCGAGTCTCTAACATAAGCAAATTAACCGAATTATTGCTTATATTGTGTGCTTTCCAAAATGAACGTTGACATAAAAGGATACGAATTCCAGTCCGTTGTCTGAGAGATTGGAATCATACTTCACCATGCCATTTATTTGCAGACAATACGCCTCAGTTCCTACACTAAATAAATAACGGTTTCCAACGGAAGAGTCGTATATGACATGGCGCAACGTGGTATTAATTCGACTTTCGCAGAGTACTTATGTTCTTCTTGCATTGCTTATCACAAATAACTCTGCTTATAAAATTGATGACTATTGTAACGTATGCTTTCATACCAATGTTGCACTCGAAAATTTCATTGCCCCTGATAATACATTTTATCTAAATCAAATGCTGTACATTATTGACATATTCGTCACTAATGCCCAGTCAAAGTAATTTATGAAATATGTCAATTCAAATAATGCACTTTTACGTTCTAAATGTTGTACACGTTTTATGACAACCAGATTGTGCCTGAAAGGTGATGTGCATCCTGTAATTACAGTCGATATATATATATATATATATATATACAATTAAGATGCGCAACTTTCACACTCATTATAGTTTAACGAAAAGGTTAAACTAGTAGTAATGTTCGTTCTCCGTAATTAATGCAGAGCTTCTGTTGCCATTTTACACAACATTATCATATAGCAGTGACTTATTTGATTATTCCACGATGATTATCTCAATGTACTCTGGTGACCTTCTCCTTGTTTGGTTGTCTTCAGATATTTTATTAACTTCAAGACTCCTTTAGATCCATTTAATCATTTTGTCCAGTCGACTTCTGATCAAGTGACCTTTTCCAGTTAGACTCGACTAGGAAACCCTTTTTACTCACAAGAGACAATTTAACTAAGAAAAATGATTATCTCTACATTTTATCCTCTTGGTTAATAATTAATTGATTGGCAAAATTGTTTTAACGCAGTAAGTTGACAAAATTTCTGTCACACTGTTTACAAATTAATAATAATTATAGGTGTGTTTACAAAAAAAATGAAAAAAGTAACTGATTTTTATTGAGATACTCAACAAAACATAAATAGTAAAATGCGAATGTTTATTCATTAAGATACTATAACAGTCTGGTAACTTGGTACAGTACATATTTGCCTAAATAATTTATTATTGATGTGTTTAGGTAAATTAAGTAAACTTTCATAAATAAACAGTAACACACATTGCATAATGTTTTTCTATGCTTGTAGGTATCATTACTAGGTTCGACTTGATAATTTCGAATAAATTGAGCAATGGGTAGATTGTTATAAACAAATGAATATAGTTGTAATATCCCAATGGGTAGAAAAAAATTTTTCTAACGTTTCATGACTCAGTGTAAGCCACTTCCTCACAGAATAAATAACCAAATCAAAATTAATCCAGGTTTAAATAGCACAAAGGAACAACGCAAAAATATTATGTGAATATTATGTATGAATATTATATATATATATATATATAAACGTAGTGAAATTGGAATATCTTAGAAAAAATAGGTGTATCATCTTGTAAAATCCAATATATTGTTTTTTTAAACCAAATAAGTAAACCATTGAGATCACGAACTAATCTAAGTTAGACAAGTATTGAGAACCTGGAAAACGTGAATAGCTATTTCATCCTAGTGTAAAACTATTCAAGAGTACACATCACCGACTCCACAACCGAGAGCCAAACCCAAGACATTCGACACATTGATTTAAATATTAGACATTTTCGTTAGGTACCATAGGTTCCATGTTGTGGAGTATTGGATGTGAACTGATGAGAAAATCCATACTAAGAAGTAGCGGTCACTCGGCGCTTCCCAAGTCCCAATGGTTGTCAAACTCAGTTGGGTTAATGATCCTAACCAATTTCAACAATCTCCAACACCCTATACTGACAAATAGACTATATTCTGAGTTATCTGAAATTTAAAAAACCTTTAACGGATTACTCAAAAAAAGTATCTCATTGTTGATCGGTTTTTCCTACTGGGGTGTATAACCAATGCTAAACGACCCGTTTCATTACTGAAGGCAATTCTCAGCAAAAACTGACACCAACCAAATAACCGATAAGAACGAAAAAAGCTAAAGAGCTATTTTTCTCTAGTTTGAATTATCTCAGTTCTAAAGAGGTTAGACACGAAACTAATGGCATTCAGTGTCCAGAGTAACCGTAAATTATAAATTAGATCTTTATAGATCACTAGCTCCGGCGTTAGTTAACTTTAAATGTAACACTATCCTTTTATAGTTAATTGTCATCTCACTCCTTACATTTGTAAGGAGTAAAATTCATATCTTTTCAACATAATATTTTAAAAAACCTGATGCATAATGAACCCATAATTGATTTGCTTATTATCTCAAAAGTTTGTATAACATAAAAGTGCACTCAATAAATCCTTCAAACTTCATAGTGTAAAGCAGAAGTTCTGTAGTAGTATTATAGAATTCGATTATTACAAAGGTAACTAAACACTTTAAAATCATTTCATTACAAAACTCAATGCATATATCACTATTATTATTATTTTACTTAAAGTACAATAAAACACAATAACATGCATTAACGAATAAGAAAAAAATTCAATTTTCAGTTTAACGTGTTATAACAAATGGTTAATGGTGTTATGTAAAATAAATGAAAACAACTTTAATAAAGTACTAAAATAGCTTTAATACATTTGCATATTTATCATAAGTAATTGAGTGTTTATTAAAACAAATAATATAAAATTCTGTAAATAAAATACATAAATTTTGAAATTCTTATCCAACCAAATGCATTTCCGTTTAATTTACTGATTGTTGACAATAAACCAATACAATTTGAGTAAACTAGCTTAACAATGACAACTAAATAGTTAAAAAAGGCAACTTTAGTTTACGAAAGAAAAATCCATCCATTTGAGATCAAATGGGAGAAAGTTAGTGACTGATTGATTAACTTATAAAAAAGATAGTTTAGAAATAATACACGAAATAATATGACATTGATAGGAAGAAATTTACTTTATTGGGCATTATAGTAGAATATTAATTGAAACTATCGGTATGGGGTTGTGGAGATTAGTAGGTTTTTGGTTGAGATCATGAACCGATTAGTGTTAGATCATCATTGAGAACCTGGAAGAATTGGACGACCGCTTCGTCTTATTGTGGACGCGCACTGCTGAGGAGTCCCACGATAGGACGAAATGGTCATCCAGTGCTTCCAGGTTTACAGTGATGGTCTAACATAAATCGGTTCATAATCTTATTTAAAAACTTAATGCGAATTGTCAATTTTCAACATTTTAAAATATAATTATTCAAAACTGTAGATCAATTACACTAATAATGAAACTTGAAGAATGTCAGAGAGTGTTCTTAGAAAAGTAATATAAAAGTCTTGAACATTTCTGAAAATAATTTTCTAACTATTTACTATACGAAATAATACTGATTTAAATGCAAATAATATTTTATCGTATGCTTTAGAAGTTATTAGATGACACCGATAACTCTTCTGAAAGCAGAAAAGGCAAGCAAAAGTTAATACTTTTGACCAATATTTGAAAGTCAAATTATGTAATTGACTTGAACATATTAATGTGAAAAAGTAAAAAAATATATATAAGCATAGATTCAAATTTTGTTTGATCTACTTCGGCTCTAGCAAATCAATTGTCATAGTTCCTCATTATATTCAAAACATACTTTAAACCTAAGTATACAGGAAAAACAAACAGAATTAGTGAACTATAAAATTTAAAACATGACCTAACAGATAAGAGGCAAAATTTATCCAACTGTAAATATTCTACGGAGAATTCATTTTTGGATATCTGATTGAGTATAAATCTACTATTATTAATAATCTCGGCGAGACTCTAATTTATGGTCGAGCCAATCAGAGGCGTTTGGGGGATTTCAAGGTTACGGCGTCAACTTCAGTGCTTAATGCTAACGTACGATGGGTTCACAAGGAATTTTGTACAAAACGTGGTAATTGAACAGCTATAACTAATAAAACGGCGAGACTATAATTTGTCAACGAATCAATCAGGTATAAGATAACAGATTTCGGATTTGGGCACGAAAGCCTTTCATTCACTGGTATTATAACTGATGTCAGTCCGTGATGAAAACCCCATATATAATTCCTAAATGAGGCAAATTATTACAATTATCGCGAACTAGATAATAAAACGTACCAATAACACTGGCTGCTGCCAGGTACTACAATATATAAGGATGATTGGAGAGCTTATAGACTCCTACATAAGCTTGGTTATGTGCATCGTGTCGTTATCCACAAGTGACATTTTGTGTACTCAACAACTGGAATGCACACAAGCAATATTGAAGCTATGTGGCCGAGGCTGAAAGTTTTTGAGACTTTATCATGGATCCAGAGGCCAAATATTCTGTAGCCATATGGATGATTTCCTCTACTACATGCAATACAATTTTAGAACCTCTGAACCTCTTTCTAACTTAGACAAGTTTTTGAACCACATTTAAGAACTGTATCCACTATATTTCCTTGGTTTTGTATAATATATTTTTATTCTATACTTACTGTTTGCTGATTGACTAGTATTCTCAAGGTCACTTAAAATTCGTTCAAAGGTCATCCATAAATTAGAGTCTCGCCATGATCTCAAATAAAATTTAATTCATTATATAGTTGGTAGTAACTTGCTGCTCTGGTTATTTATAAATAACTCAATGAGTTATTTACTTGCTTACTTACGTCTATTACCCCTCGTGAAAGGGTATAGACTGCCCACCAGCATTCTCCAAACAGCTCTATTCTAATAAATCCTCTCCAGTTGCTGTTCATTCTTTTGATGTCTACTTCAAATCTGGACGAAGTGTGTCCTTTGGTCTTCTTCTTTCCCCCTTGAATTCAACGTTCCATGTTACGGCTTAATTCGTGATGCAGTTCGATGATCTCTGTAATGTATATTCTACCCATCTACAGTGTCTTTTACTATTTTCTTCATCAACTGGAAACTGGTTTGTTCTCTCCGACAGTATGCTGTTGCTGATGGTCTCCTGTCAACGGACGTTCAGTATCTTACGAAGACAGTTGTTTATAAATACCTGCAGTTTTGGTGATAGTTGTGGCAGTTCTCCACGTTTCAGCTACGTACAGTGGAGCTGCCGTGACGTTCGTATTGAAGACTGTAACTTTGATGTTGGCTTACAGATAATTGAGTTCGATACGTTCTTCAACTGTAGGAATGCTCTTCTGGCTTTAACAATCGTTGCTTTTACATCTGCATCCGATCTATTTTGTTCATCCATGATGCTGTCTAGGTACGTAAAATTCATTAACTATTTCAATAAATTTTAGGAGTTACGTACCGATCGAAGTTGAACCGGTCTAACTTCAATCAGTTTGTGATTTCAATGAAATTCAACAATCCTCAACATCCCATACGGAAAATTTCGGATTTTTATCAAAGCTATAAATCAGCAAATGACTATAAGAATCACTAATTCACAGTTAACTCACCTTCATTTTTACAATCAAGACAAGAATAACTTCGGATATGAAACAAGTTACTTAAACTGTAGATCAAATTAGTCTTTCATTTATATCTTTATTCTTTAGAATTAGTGAATGTGTTGAAATCACTTATTAAGTTCCTTTATACATGTTCATATTTGAAAGGTGAACAAAATGAAGTTATGAAAACAAGACAAATCCATCAAAAGTTTATAATAATAACTCACCCTATGGTTGACGGAAGTCTAGATAACTTGTTTACATCTAAATTAAGTGTTTGTAATTGACATAATTGTCCAATGTTTAAAGGAATTGATTTGATTTGATTGGATTCTAATTCCAATTGTACTAATCTAACCAATTCGCCAATTCTATTTGGTAATCCCTAATCGATGGAATAAAATGTAAATAAACATGTTTGTACTGTGTTAAATGGAAATGGAAATAACTATCAAATGATTTGAATATACTTAAATTATGTAAATTAAGTCAGACATAAATTCAGATAACATTTCCATATCATAAAAAATTATTCTATTCGATTGTTTACTGTAAACTGTATTTACTAACTGACAAAATAACATTCGAACCAACCTGTTTATTTCAATGTTAATGATCGGTACAAATTGCAGTTAAACTTAGATAAAAATAGGCTGACAAAAATGAAATTTTTAAGTATACGGTTTATTGATGAGTTACGTATAGGTTGCTTTATTCAAATAATTGACGTGGGAGTAATTACAGATGTAAATAATAAAATCACAATGTGTTACTTATGTTTTAATCATAAGCCAGTGTTAAGTTGAAAAAAAAATTGATGATTGCCTACCTGCTTGTTATTTTTATTAATTTAGTCATAAAGTTCCATAGATATCACACGACTTAAAATTAGTGATATTGCATGTATCTTATTCAATTTGCTGTGTCAGTGATATTATACAGTATACATATGTAATTCATCGTAACGATGCACGGTGGACAAAAAAGATTAGCGCCCGGAGAGACGGTGTTATACTCTGGTCATGAAGCAGAAAATACTTCGCAAAACCAACCCTCTGACGCTAGGCATTTCACTTTCACCTGATGATACATACTCTTATATCTGTCGACATCAGTAACACACACCTTATTTAATTACAAACGTTAGTTAAGTCCTATCAAATGTTAGCTATAATATTATAAAAGAAATCATTAAAAACGGTCAGATTAACGTTAAAACAGAGCTACTAATCATAGGATTTGTCAAGTGCTTATATTTATAATGAATATGTACGTTTAACAGATTATATGCTTGGTACTGATCAATTAATAAGCACAGAAGAATTAAACATAAATAAACAAAATGAACATTATACTATAAAATATTACCTCTAAGCGATTACTAGTCAAATCTAATATTTCTAAAGATACTAACTCGCCAATTGAATCAGGTAGGTGACCAATTTGATTATAAGAAAGATCTAATTCAACAAGATGTTTCAATGTTTCTATTCCTTCAGAAAGACAGAATATAGAAAATATCAACTGATGTAAATGGGAAATAGTAAACAGTTCATGAACTCAATAAAATTACTAAATAAATAACATAAATATAATCATTTAAAGTATGATTATTAGAATTAGAAAATAAGTCACATTTAAATATGACGTTTAGATGAAATGAAATTATTATTATAATTACACGATTATACATTAGTGATATCAGAATTTTCCCACAATTCATAATATTGAATATCCTTCAAAATATATCACTGATCTTTGATGAAAATGTACAAGAGTAATAATTCATGATAAAATTCACCAAATATTGTTATGCGTTTATAATTTGATAAAGAATACCATCTTGAAATGAGAAAAGAACAAATTATCAAATTATTGCTGATTATGTATACAGAACAACATATTTTGTAGATACGTATCAAGATTTTGATAACCATTGGTGCACCAAATACTGCATCTTGTTCATGATAATCCAATAGAACCAATATAGGAGATGTTTCAAATAGAAACAAACACCTGCACTTACATTTATCACATTGATTTCATGGATTGTGTCAAGTCTTTGTTTGAATAACATAATATTACTGTGAACAAATAATCGTTTCGAAACAAATTAGATAAATATTTTCTTTTCTTTATTGGCTACTTTTTAATCAGTGTTAAGTCAATAATAAAAAAAGGTTACTGTCTTTCGAAGCTTTAATGACGTGGTGTTCATCAATATAGACTTCGCAGATGTAAGAGATCATTGTAAACAAATTTGGGTTCATAAAGCATGATCAACAATGAAACTGTATGTTAATAAATGTTGAAGTTAAAAGACAGAAAGTAAAAAAACATAAGGAAAATTTGTCTAGAACGTGTGGCTTGAAATATCTTGATGAGTTGTAAGAAATACATATAGTGATAAATGACCACTTTTGGCTTTGTAATAGATGAAATGTAGCTAGCAGTGGAATCCATGAAACAGGTTTCGTCCTGTTTGTGATTCTTCAACCGAGTGTACTTGCACTGACAACGTGATAATCCAAGCCATTACGAACTAACGTCTAAAACACTTTTTGATTTAATTTTACAACTAAACAATCGCTTTTCAGTAGTTGTATACACGTTTAACTACTGGGCACAAGTGGTCAGCAACTATTGCCATAAAAGCTTTTTTTATGATTTCTATTGAATTACTGTTTATCATGCAAAAACATCGTTCCGAGGTGGTCAGTTACAATCAAGTCTAAAGTTCATATTTCATATTCAATTTGTCAAATAAATGGAAATGTACATGTGTTTTGGATTCTCCTTCAAAGTTTTAATACCCAAAGTTATCATTCAAATTCTTGATTAGAGTTTACTATCCGTCTTTTCAGCAACAGAAATACCTTTTATAAAAAGAGTTGACTATTCACATCGTAAATGTAATGAACCACGTGATCATGATTTGCAAACAGTCTATTACAAACAACATAGAGAATTACAGTTATTTAGAAATAATAACGTGCACTGACATAAAACAGCAAATGGATATTAAAAAATCTAAAACATGTATTTTCAGAACTATTACTAACATACAGCAAATTAACAAGTAACCTAACTGGTTGTATCTGTAAAATTTGAACAGTTACTCTACGATTTAACCTTTGTGACAGCATCATAAACAAATTCATGGCATGTTTTAAAGTAGTTAACAGAAAAAACGTTTACCTGTAAAGTCCAAAGTAATAATGTTATTGTTGCATAAGTTTAGTGTAGTCAATTGAGTATTTTCTGACAACTGAACTGCTTCGAATATTTCTAAACGATTATAATCCAATCTCAAATGCTTTAGAAAGAAAGCCGAAATAAGAAAATAGATAAAAATGATGTATGAAACAAAATTTATTCCAGAAAAGATGTTTCAGAAAACAAATCGTGACAAAGTGACAAATTTACTCTGTCCTCGATTCCACGGCTAGCTATCATCCATCTCTGTTTTTTTATATTTTCGTACAACTAGGGCTTCAATAAACTTTACTTTACGCCTTGGATAACTTTTGGGCAAAGCCACAAAGACTAAGTTAAGATTAGTCTTATGACCTGTAACAACAACGTGTTTGGCGGCAGAGGAAAATGAATTCTTACTGGGTCATTTGATTTTGTTTGCTTCTACAGTTATTTTGGTAAATGTTCAGAGATTATAACTTACACATACCGATTACTCTTATACTTGTATACATGACCATACGAAAATTCAAACCTCATTTATGTATTCAGAAACAGATTGTTCTCACATTGATTCTATTCTGATAATGTCGATTTATTATCCAGGGTGATGAGTTTAACACTGTCCTTCAAATCATTTTTAATATTATTATTCTTTTTTCCTCTTACATTCCATTTTTATAGTTGACCTTTTATTTTTCATATGTGTTAGGTCCCGATAAACATAATGATTGATAACTTTGGGATCCTTTTATGGAACAATACTAAACGTATATTTTTGTCGTATAATTGTTAGGTAACTAAACTATTCATATTCATATTCCTCTTATTATAACCTTTATTTTGACCTATGAACCATTATTATACGTTTTACCATTTTAGAATTATGCCCTGTCTATTAGTCACTGCCTCCCACATTCACAGCCACATTTGGCCAAATTTTGTACAAATGTTATTTTCTATTTTATGCTACGTTATGGTCTGTTTTATTGGTGTATAAACTCAGTATGTTTGAAATATAAGGATTCATATTGCAGAGGGTGAGACTGGTGTTCTGGTCTTAGCTGGCTGGGCTAGGCGGAAAGCAGGATCAATCAGGACTCTGGGTAGCTCGCACGTGTTTTGCACGTCCTTGGTCCGATCGATAATTCACTGCTTCTGATTGGCTGCTTTGGGCTATAACAATGTGTAAATGTTCTTACTGAGTAAACGCATGATCATATTTGTATGTATCATTACCAAGGTTTGACTTGATAATTTCGAATAAATCGAGCATTGGGTAGATTGTTATAAATAAATAATATATTTACATGATTATGTTGTTCGAAATGTATTGCGTTTATATATTACATAATCCTAATAATCTTCGTCTTCCTACTACACTATCCAAATATATCAAAAAGATTAATTGCTTTAAAAGTAAATACTTCAACTGTGTTATAACAGACTTAAAATACTGAAAATAAAAATTTCCGTAACATCTAAATTTTTTCTATCAAATAAACTCTGATAAAATAACTAAAGCTCGTAAATTCAATAGTTATTAACTTAAAGAAATTGAATAATTCCAGACAATAAAACTTATTTTTGATTGAGATCATGAACCGATTGGTGTTAGACCACCTTTGGAAACTCGGAAGCACTGGACGGCCGTTTCGTCCTGTTGTGGGACTCCTCAGCGGTGCGCATCCACGATCCCGCTCGCGGGATTCGAACTCAGGGCCTTCGGTCTCGCGCGCGAACGCTTAACCTACCGGACCACCGAGCCGGTATCCGATGGTGATTGTGAGTCCTGTGAGCGGGACCGTGGATGCGCACTGCTGAGGAGTCCCACGGTAGGACGAAACGGCCGTCCAGTGCTTCCAGGTTTCCAAAGGCGGTCTAGCATCAATTGGTTCATGATCTCAATCAAAAAACTTAATAATCTCCACAACCCCTATACTAACAAAACTTATTCTATAAAATGATTCAGGTTAAGATGCTGCAAATGATTTATTATGTGAAATATTATTATTTCATACCTTATGATCATTCATTATTGTATCCATTTTCAAATTAACTACTAATTTCAGAATTTAAAACAAAAAAGTACAGTTGGATTCCATATGATTATTTCTAAGAAAATATATTTAAGCAATTTAAAAAATATTTTGATAGAAAAGAAACTTCGAAAATGTATTATCAGTGTGAAAACAAAAGTTAAATAAAGGCATATATGTACTTACCTTGACATTTTTATACTGAGTTTTATCACCGATTGGGAAAGAATTGAAATCATTACGAGATAGTACTACAGAAAGTGAATCTTTTAAATGACACAATAGATTTTCCTATTCAGTTAAATATACAGAAAAAAATGGAAAGAAAAACAGGTTCTAATCGTAAACAAGCCAAAGAAAAAATAATATTACTTAGATAGTAGAATTAGTAAATGAATATAGATTAATTATAATGTATGTCTTATAGTCAACGTCACAGTGGGATCACAGTGAAACAGACATTGGTAACTTGAAAGCATTGGGGAGTTGTGTTTTCGTTGTATGGGATTGTTCAACAGTGTGCATTCACTACCCCAATCCTGGGGATAAATAAATCAAGCTCTGAATTAACGTTCTTCATGCTTTAATGTGATAGATGTGACCAATTTTCTATGGCTTTAAAATAAAAACCGAAGCTTTTAATTTTATGAAAACATAAATTACCGTTTAGATTACTTAATAACTGTACCTATCCACGTGTAACAAGCTAAAGCATGTAAGTTTTTCAAAATTTCATTGATAACATTGTTTTTGCCATCTATGATATGAAGACAAAACTGCGAGTACAAAGAAGTACGTTTAAACTCTATCTTTGCCATAACCTTAAATTATCATCATTACATTTTATTTCGTATTTGAAAATACCACCCCACCTCTTAAATTATTTCTCATAACCCCACGATTTTATTCATAATTATTTCTAACATCATTTTATTTCACTTAACCCCTCTATTATCTTTAATTATTGCAACAATAATACATTTTATTTATCTTACTCTATTCATATTACAAATCAGCTGCTAACTTATTTTTTCCTCATTTTTTAACCGTCAATCACGAAAAAGGTGTGATCAAAAATAATGATAAAGGAAACCAATAAATGAAACTATGGGAAAGGATAATTGTCCATATTTTCCAAAGCTGTACATAACATAAAGCAAAATCGGTAAGTGTTTAATGATTTTCATCTGCAACCATATAATTATGATCTTTTTACAGAACTATCTAGTTTATAATTGAAACCGGAAATGCCTATTAATATGATTGTGTTTAATGAAATGAATCATTAATATTATGTAATCAAAAATATAAATTGATATAAGGTACTCAAGAAGTAACCACAACAATGAATTTTCTACTTATCGATAATCAATTAAAATGTAATAATGCAAGTGACTGATTGGTGTGGAAACAACCAGCAGTATGTAGAAAGATTTATCGACAGTGCTATTCGAATAACTATCAGTATAAGGCTATGGAGGTTGTTGAGTTTTCATTGAGATAAAAAAGCCGATCAATGTCAGACCACCAATGAAAACCTGAAAGCACTGGGTGGACATTTCGTCCTGGTCCGGGATACTACAGGAATGTTGATCCACAATCCAACCGATGGTACTCAAATCCAGGGCTTTCATGTTCGATATCTATCGTATAATCATAATGTCAATAATATCTTTAAATATCTCGTGATATAATTTACCATCGACAAAAATGCCAAACGAATATTTTATAACTTTCTCTGCACTACTACTTACATATATACTATACAAGATTACATTGCATGGCAGTACAAACAAAATTAAGCAAACTGACCGGTAGCTGAGTTATATGATTGCCTTCAATATTCAGTTCGGTCAATTGCTCGCAATTACATATTGTAACTGGGAGTTCACTTAAGCAGTTATATCTGAAATAAAAAATGCATGTTTGTTGACTAGAGATAATGAAGTTTAAAAATAAATATAGGACTAGTTTATATTTGAGTAATAAAAAAGTATGAATTACCAACTACTTTTATGTATTCCATGGAACCATTAAATGGTAGTCACATACACACATGCATATAAAACGATTTCAAGATGAAGAAATTGTACGATTCAATTATATATCTGCTGTATTTGTGTCTAACAAATCTTTAGCAAGTATACATCTGTGTATCGTTAATGGAATATTTTCTAAATACTAGCCAAATTTTTGTGGCACTAACTTGATATCTCACGAAAGAAACAATCACATGAAGTTGAAGTTTTTGCATTAACTTCACACTTCAATAAAAGACATCTAGAGCAACATTTTATAACAGCGGAATGTTTATCAACAGTTATGTGGTCATCCAATTTTAGCTAAACTTCGAAGCTTTAATAGTGATCGAGAGTTTTCATTGTTACAGGTTCGGCAACTATACAATTGACTGATTATTGAACAGTGATTAATGCTATAATTATTTAACCCTTTAATTGCCGATGTAATTCCATCGATTGAATTGTATTGAAACCAGTAGTCTAAGTAAAGCTGGCCGAAGTGGTTTTGAATCTTTAAAGGAATATCAGTTCCTTCAAGATAGCAGGTACATCTAACTGACGAATGTCAACTGGCACAAAACCTAGGTCCAGAGTTTTCTGCCAATAACTTCCAATCATATAGCAAGGCGACAGCGTTTATTTAAATGAACAAAATGACAAATTTTTTGTCAGCTAACAATTTAAAAAAATCTTTTACGTGATAAAAAATATCATCTTTCTGAAACAAAAATCATGCCAGTATTAATTCTTTTCCTGTATTACCGATAACTTTATATTCACTGTAAAGATACGACATCCGAAAACTTGAAGTGTTAGAGAGAATATTTTTAGACCAAGATTAAAATATTGAAGGTATTATTTCCTTTGAGTTTAATAAGTTTACTTGAAGAATATAACATCTTCAAAAGGTATCACGAAACACATGTCAAAAATAGATACCTGAAATCAGTCACGGTGATATAAACTTTGATCAATTTTATTCGTACTCATTATATCTGCAAAATCTAATTATGTAATTATGAATTTCTGAAATTTTGGATATTTTTAATCTTTTTATTAAAATAATTTTAATGGTTTCTTTTAGCTTGTATAATGATATTAAATGTAATAAGTTAAATTTCTAATGAATTTCTATCCAATAGGCTAATGAATTTCATTTTGAGAAATATTACAAACAGTTTAATTGTAAATGCACATCTTTACAATAATTAAAATATAATAAGGGTATGATATTAACATAATAGGTTAAACTTTCACAATATATTCACATTCTTAGTCTCTTATTCAACTCATATAAATAAAACAAACTTTATGTAAATAGAAAACAATCAGCAAAACTTCTAAATATAAAATAATCGCACAAAGAGAATACAAACTGAAAACTATAAATGTTTTCATACAAAACAAAACAAATAACGAATTGATCAAAGTTTAATATGTGCTCTATCTGATTCTGACTTGATGATAAATAGTTAATCTGCCAATTGTTAAGACTTAAAAGTGATGCGTCCAATCCGCTTGTGGAGTAGTAGTAGTAGTGTGGTTTATGCTATTTATGTCGACAAACATAATTATTATGCAACATCAGTCGGAAGTGGAGAACCTGGCAGCAGAAGGCTAAGAAGGTTGAGTTGAACAGAATAAAAGGGAAAATAGAAAGGCATCGTGAACTGGAAATTTCGTACAGAATGTGAGGGACAAATAATGGAAATTTACAAATCAGGTATTTAGTGTATGCTTCTCACATTTACCAAAAGATTCTGTAATTTTGTATCTAAACACCTGTGTTCTCGTTCACAACAGTAGTAGTAGCAGTATACTGATGTGTTGTAAAAACTGATCATTAACTTGTGAAACTTGAACCTCTGAATACTTGAACAGCTAAGTAAAAAACTACGAATAAAAGAATATTCAGTAGAAAACTTACTTAATTCCTAGTACCGTAAGTTCTGAAAGTTGACCAATTGATTTTGGCAATTCATCTATTTGATTATAATCCACAAGAAAACGGGATAGCAATTTACAATTGCCTATATCTAATGAAAGAAAATAAGAAATATGTTGTTCACATTTAAACTAACTAAATTTATTTATATAAACTATTGATGAACTAATTCATTAATTAGTTAAAAGACAGTCGAACTATGTCCCATTTCAATTAATTTTTGTATTGCTTGATTCAATCATCCCATTGATGTTCAGGACTGCAAATGATTAGTCTCTTATGGGAATACGTACATCCATCTCTGCTAACAATACATGTGTTCCATTTTGTTCATCATGCTTTTGTAAATCATACGGAGCAAAAATAAACACAAGAAAAAATTCCCGCAATCATTATTATATTCATCTATTTAAATATAATTTTACATTGATGAAATAATGATAGGATTTATTTTGACTGTCATTATGGTGTACTCTCAGTTTTCTTTACCTAACCAATACTTTCCTTAACTAGATTCATTATTTCAAAACTATGAATAGTGATATCGTTCTACGACAAAGACATAATTATAACATAATATGAAACAATTGCAAAAGAAATATCATATGCATAATACTATGCTGTCAAGTAATCATGGAAATTATATAAAAGAGTTTGTAGACATTATTAAGTTTCAGGCATAATCTGTTATCTCAATAGACGTAGTTTGTAAAATAATAATTTTATCACTTATCTTTACTAAAATGAGTAGAATGCTGATTTACTTGACCTTGAGTACAACAATGTGTTATGGTACTTTTTCAGAAGACTTAATAGATTCGAATAATGTAATAAATTAGTATCACTGTATTGAACGAAAAATTATATGCTCAATGTCAAGTTTTAACGCATCATTTACTGGTATAAAAGCTTGATGAAATGTTAGGTTGCAAAATATTATTGAATGGCCATAAATATAGCTAATTTCGACTGATTTCGAAGATTGTTTTCTTGATGTAATAATATCATCTGAAGGTTGTACATACATACAATTCCATACCTACTTATTAGTCTATAAGTATTCTCTGTTACATAAAAAAGTTCTGGGTTCCATTCTGTGTAGATTTAGTATTATGTAGTTTCCAAGAGTTCTCGATTTTAAGTTAATCCATGATGAACGAAATTAATTTTATAAAACCGCTCAAGTAAACTTCTAGAAAAAGTTCCAATATTATTTAGCGTCATTAATTCATTTGAAATCAATCATCTTGAAATTTATGTAATACTTTAAGTTGAAAAACTAATTGCCTTTTTATTTCTTTCAAAAACTCAGAGTGTAAAACATCAGTTTTGGGATTTTTTTTAAAGTAAGTACTTTCTCGGTATTTCTATATATCAAAACATTTGATTTACATTTTTTTCAAAAACTGTTTACTAACTTGTTATCATAAAAATTCATATATGTATGAAGATATTATGACAGAAAAATATAATTTATAGGAAACATTGGTGTTTTGCAATAAAAAGCACTCAATTGTTACTTTTATCAGTTATTAATAAAAGAAAACTTTTAAATTGACCCAAACAAAAAAGTGCATATAAGTGCTGAATAAGTTAAATAACTTTTTCTAGTACGGGAAACTCATTTTTATCTGAAAATACTATACGGATTAAGATCGTTTTTTATGTCATAGAGTCAACTCCGACTGACCATAGAAAAAATTGGAAATGATTAGTCTCAAACAGTGTATAGAAACTTTGAAAGATAATAAGGTACATTTGAAAAGCGTATAAAACAGAACCAGATAACAAAATGAACCTCGTAGCTGATCATAAACCAGTTCAATATACAAAAGCATATACATATAAGTTAGTAATCAAGGACAAAAGTATAATATACTGACGACCTTAAGCCACTTATCAGTCAATCAGGAAACACTGCCTTGCTATAAAATGATTAACAATAAAAAGCAATAAAACAGTGGAATAGTGGTCTTGATATGATTGATCATCCTTTACACGTTAAAGTGTTCATTATATTAAAGTAACAAAGTCTACATATTAGGAGTTAGGCTAGGGTTGTGAGTTAAGGTTATAACACTATAGGGTTTTCATCCACAACTGATAACAGCTATGTTACAAAATGGCTGTCGTCAGATAATAGAAATCAAACTAGAATTTCATGTTATGGTTACATATTATGGATATGGTATTCATCACGAGCCGATGTTAGTTAAAGTACAATGATGTTTTACTAACCTTTTATTTACAAACTTAGGAAACTTGACGTTGAGATTTAAATTCAGTAGTTAAAAAAATACTACTGAATCATACTAACTAATTAAAACAGAATCTGCATCAGGAGTTGGTATTTCATGTGTTTTGGCTTAAGCGCTAAATTCTGTTCATTGTTCGATTGCGTATTACTCATTTTTATCGTTTTCAAGCATCTCATAAACAAAATATTGTCAATTTTTACTTATGTCATAACAACATACAAGCTGTCTACCACTGCGTCTTACTTTCACGTAAAAATGTCCGAGGTGCTATGTCAATTCGGATTACTTTACTCAAGGCCGTGAGCATAGTACACTTTTTACTGAGTACGTACTAAATCAAAAATATAGAGCACAGAAGATATTTAACTAATACTTTGCTGCACTGTCATCTGAAAGCTATCACCAAGCTAGTAAAACATAGAAAGTAGAATGAAAATTAACCATAGAATTTTTTAATACACAACAATGCCTTATTAGTACAGCAGATCTTTGGAAATTCAATTTACCAACTATATTACAGACTGATTGTTACCTACAGATCGATCACTGGTAGAGTGGTGAATACTCACTCCTGCGAAATCCTATATACCAAAAAAATAGTAATGTGATCCCTTTCTGTTTTTCATGATTGTCTAGTTAAACCCAGACCATCATGTAAGAAAAAAACAATGGATTACTTTTCGTACAACAAATTATTAATGGATTTTTAAGGGTTAACTGGGAAGATAATAGAACGTCATCTGAATGATAGATGATTACTAACAGTCAAACTTTAGCTTCCGACTATTGATTACCTTTCACTATAAACTATACTTCTTTATACATATATCTAGTGTAATTAGGAGTGAAATTCATAATTCATATGTTACTCACAGTGAAAAAAACCTGATATTCAGTAACGTATTTTTGTTTACTTTTCATATTTAATATTATATTACTCAATTTTTATCATTAGAAAAAACTCTCGAGACTGGAAAAAAAACCCTTAAAATGTACAAAATAATGAAAACTGGTATTATTCTGTATTTGGTTAGAAACATAAGGTAATGAACCGAAAATGACTCGATTTTTCAGAAATTTACGTGAGTGTTTTATACGAGTTGTTTTATTTGTGTAATAATCAAAATGAACTTCGTACACTGATAACAGTAAGAACAATAATAACCATGACGAAGAAAACACGATATCACCATTTAATGTCTACTCGAATATAAATATTTAAAATCTACTATTCGTTATACCTTTGATACTTCAGTGTCATAATATGTACTTGAGACTATTTAGAAAAAAAACAATTTTCAGGTAACTGAACACTTGAGTTAATGAGTACTGGTAGTGATTATGTTTTGAAGTGCAATTACAAACCATGGAAGTTGCTAAGAACATTTATATGAATAGATTTTCACAGTTTTTTTTAATATAAAAAAACGGGGTTTTTTAAAAAAAAGTGTAGTAAAGTCTTTCATTTTATTATGTTCTTATTGTCCACTGTATTAGCAAACAATTTTACAATCAGGGTATCATGAAAACTGGAACATTTAAGCTTAATGAAAAAAATATGGTAAAGCTTTAAATAAAATAAACAAACTTGACATTTAATTGTTATTGTTTTTTTAGTTTCAATCAACTTTGATCATGTATATGCAAACATTACCTTTAAATATATAATAAACCTCTTAGTTAGCGTTCATAAACTTGTATAAACTACAAAGAACAAAAATCTCATAAATAATACAACAATTAGTAAATTCATTCATAAGATATTAGGTAACTGAAAATAATAATGAAGTTCCTTTGTATAAATTAAATTATATCAGACATAAATTTGTTTCTCAAAAAATAATGTACCACAGTAGATAAAATCATCATTATTATTAATAAATTATTATTACTGTTATTTTAATATTATTTAACTCAGGTTTCCAGTTCCAAAATTTTGCAATAAAACATTTAGTTTCTGTTACAGGATAACTTTAACTAGTCAATTACTAAACAGTAGAAAGAGCTGGAAAACTGTTTTTCACTAGTTTTACATTTCTTATTAGTGTACAACAATCACTATATGTGTGAATAAACCCACGATCCTCAAGTTTCATAGTGAAAAAGTTACTTTTAGATCATGTAGTCAGTAAGCAGTGGTTTGTGTATCCAATCAGTAAATTCCTAATATAGTGCGACGATTATACAATGTCAGTAATGATTCCTATCACACTCGAGACGTGACGGAACCTGGTTATGTCATCTGGTTCAGGGAAAGTAACACCACTAAACGTAGTCATAAACAACCTAAAACATAGAATATATGAGCATCATTTAAGATGTCACACTAAACCAGCACAACGAGATTAAGTTATCAAGACAAGTGCTAGAGTAGTAGGAGAAGTAACAGTGTCGATCATAGTTATAAACATTAGACATAGATAATATGATTCTATGACAAGGAATTAATTAATGTTCAACAATTTACATTCAGTGGTATTTTGATAGGGAAGACTGACTCTCCAAACAGTAATTCATAAATTTTTAGTTTTTCCTCGCATATATTGTGCTGAAATATTAAGAGTTAATTATAAGAACTTTCGTCGGTAAGACTATAATTTATGGACGACCTTTGAGTAACGTTAAAGTGACCTTGAAAATATCCACCTACTTACTGGGGCTAAATGATGGTTATAAAGCAGTGTGAAGAATAATGATTAAGATTTATAGTTGATGTTTAGGGCTAGGAATTAGATTTATTTTCATCACGAACTGACATCAGCTAAAATGCCGAAACGTTATTTAGACAAATAAGTGAATGAATTTCGCGCCAAAATCCAAGACCCGTTATCCT